TTCCTCTCGCCTGTCCAGACACTGCGCCGCCATGCGATTGGGTCATCACAAACTTTCAATGCAAACCTCTTAAGTTTCCGGAATGCCGAAACCACACGAACTTCTGCAAATCGACTCTCAGCAGTCCGTCAACTAGATAACCTAGGACGACAGCCACTCACAAGCAAAGGAATCCCAAAGACGTCACCGAAGCGAGTCACCGCGCCCTGAGGCCAGCCTGGCAAGGGAAACTCGACTTCCGCAAATGCACAAGTAACAAACAAACGCTGTCTCTTGCTGATCTGGTTCAGATTGATCTTAAGCAGTTAAAGATAAGCCAAAACCCTGCTCTTGTGGTTTCTCAGGTCTGATTTTTAAGATCTAGTAAGAAGTACTAGAATTCATTTGTGGCAGCTGTCAAATTATTTTGCATCCTCTGAACTGCCTTTGTGTGTATGTGTGAATGTGTGTGTGTGCGTTTGTTTGTTGTTTGCTTATTACGTAGTTAGTTTCATGTATCAAAGTGTAGCTCAATAAATCTTTGTTCTCATTTTGTAAGAACTGTGTTCGTGTTTATGGACTTCTAAGTCATATCCTCGAGCTGTAGATTTTGTTTCCTTGCTAAAAGTTAACCCAATACTGTGTTATGTTATTATTGTTGAAAAAGGAAATAATATAAACGAGATTGGTAAGATACAATGTCTTCTATTTGCTGGACAAATGGTAGATAAAGTGTGAATCTTTTGATCTGATTGAATCCGATTCATTGAAATGAGCTAAGAAATGACTTTAAATGCTAAAATCATGAACACCATGCACAGACTCATTTACTAGATCAGCAGCAAGTGGCTCTGAAGCGTAATAACTACAAAAACAAGAAAGGCAAAAAAAGTTGCAGGTCCACAACCTACCCAACAACTAGTATAAATAGGGCAAATACTTGCTTAGGATGCAAGAAGTCACTCACACAAAAGCAAATCCAGATGAATCACGAAAAGAACGGTGTGGCCACTTCTTTCCACACTAAACAGCTGAAAAACATAATCAAACAATTTAGGAATAGTCCTCAATTATGTTACAGCCACAGTCATAACACAAATAAAGGTAAACCAAAAGGGATCAGTCTAGGGGTATTTATTAAAATAAGAAATTTATAACAAAGTATGGAAGGAATCAAAATAAAACTAAGGCTGATCACAAATAAAAGAACAACTCAAAGAAAGTAATCAAAAACTGTTGAGGGCAACAAAATAGCAAAAATAAATAATCAAATACATGGACATGTAACAATGACCAATATGATCAGTCTGGATTGGTCAAGAGACCCGAAAGTCAGCAGACTTTACTAAGTTACCATATGCAAAAAACAATTAATTACTGTACATGGGCTACCATCTCTCTCATGACTTCGATCTTACTACTTTGAAAAATAGAGAATTGTCTACCTTTGACTCCTCTGGGCAAACAAAGTGCCACTTCAAGCCATTGAACAAGAAGTGCAGTCAGGCTGGATACAGAAATCCAACTTGACTTCAGAGATTCCCCAGCAGCTGTGGACGCACTTCCCCAAATGCTGCACAGACGTGAGCTATCTTTGAGGTCAGGTCAGAAAAAGAAGAATCAGACATGTCTTTTTTTTAATCATAGTGACATTGCCACATCGCCCTGTACTGTGGCCACAGTATTAGAAAAAATTAGGTTTTACAGCTTGCAGCTCACATGTAATTGTTGACAGATCGTCAGCCAGTACAGTTTGCAACTCGGGGCACAGAATCCCTGCAATATCACTGCATAGAGAAGATAAAAGTTCAGCTTTAAGAGCTGTGTTGTCGACTGGGAGCTCCATATGCACCTCTGAGCTATCAGGGCTGAGGCAAAGCGAGCCCATCAGAAAGTACAGGCTGCTGATGAGACTATGATGGATTAGCAGCTTTACTGGGTTTGTTCTTAATAATTCAACATAAAAACAAGTTAGTTTTTATGGACATTAAGTAAACAACGCTTGTAGGCTTGTTGGAGGGAACAAAAAAGGCTAAAGACTGAAATATTGATATGCACGCTGCAGGAGAAACTGAAAACGCGACTTACATCTTAGCTCCTCAAACCAGAAATCTTAAAACAGTTAGGAGTTTCAGTATCAGGAGACAGATTAGCTCATCCCCTTTAAAAGAACAGCCAATAGTGTTTTGTTTTCTCATAGCTCTGCCAGTGAGAGTGGTTGAGCTCAAGCACATCAAATGAAAAACAAATGTGAAGCGTCTTAAAGGGGGCGGGGTATGTCAGATTCTAGGAAGCATTGATTGGTCAGGATTTGAAGAGAAACTGTAGTATGAGCTGACGTGAAACAAATCGTTGATCCATTGTGTCAAGTGAAAAGCTTTATATGTTTATATAAGTTTTATATTTTCTCAAGGCAAATTGTCATTGTTTTGGAGCACACAAGATAAAAGATATACTTAAAACTAACAGACTGAAACTAACATCTAAAAATGTTTTATTTTAATTTCATGGAACCTTTAAGTTCGTAATTCCATGATTCGACCACTCCAAGAGATTAGAAACCAAAACAGTCTTATAATTACTATAAGTAAACACATTTAGAATAAAGATATGTGAGGAAAAATCTTTACGGACTTATAATTCTAGCCGTATTTGGTGTACCCAATAATACATCAGCAGTTTTGATTCAAGAGGATGGGCATACAGAATACATCTCTATTGAAGATCCTCTTTGCCTGAAGCCATTCCCTAACAACACCTTCATCAGTACATAAACAAGAGGGGAGGGGAGAGAGGGGGTCAGGTAGAGATAAGGAAAAAAAAAATAAATCTAATATTAAATCTAATTTTAAATAAATAAATCAATTGGAAAAAAGTATAATGTAAACAATTAAAATAAAATAATCATAATTCGGTCTTTATATACTTCATTACTTTCCCTTTTGTTCTATTTGTTCCCCTTTCCTGTCCCTATCAATGTTATTTATTCATTTTATTATTATTATTATATATAATATTTGTTTTCTATTTATTATTATTATTATTATGCATAAATTATTATTATTATTATTATTTATATACCAGTACCTCTCCTGACCAACAACAGATAAAAGAATAAATAAAAGAAAAAAAAAAAAGAAAGAAAGAAAGAGAAGAGGAGGAAAAAAAAGAGAGAGGGAAAAAAAGGAAAGAAAAAAATCTACTTACATGTACTAAATTCACAGGGTAAAGTGTAACGTAGGCATGGCAGTCTGGGCACTGCACTGGACTGATCCATGCCACACGTTACACTTTTTTTAATGCATCACAAAGCAACTGACAAACACTTTATACCTCAATGCCCATCACACAACTACAACCTCCTCAATTTATTGTTACAGCTGTTGTTATTTTTATTATTATCATTATTATTAGTATTATTACCAGCATGAGTATATTATAGTTATCAAATTACAGTAATAATCTATCATACATATCTTTAATATTATTCTTCCATGTGGAATTGTATAATTCATAATTAGCATTGATATAGTGTTTTCTTTTTTATTTATTCAGTTTTTATTATCATTTTATTTTATTTTTTATTTTTTTTGGCTTATTCTCGTTGCTTTGTTTGCTGAACTTTATTTTTCTTCTCTCTTATTGTTTCTTTTTTTTTTCTACTCCTCCCCTTCCTTTTCTGTTTTTATTTTATTTTATTTATTTATTTTTATTATAAGTATTTTATTAATTTTTGTTTATTATCATTAGTTTATTTTCTCTTTTCCTCTATCTCCCCTTCAAACTTAATACTTACTACTATTATTATTTGTTATTATTATTATTTATTATTATTATTACTTGTCCTCTCCCTGATTTCCCATCCTCCCCTCTCCTCGACACCTTTGTCATAAATGGTATTACTTTTATTTTTTGAAATCATTATTATTATTATTATTATTACTGTTCTGACTTGTCCTGTTATCTTTCCATTATCATTATTACAAGTATTTATACCATTATCATTATTAAGGTTGCAGTTGTTGTAGTTGTAGCGGTAGTAGTTGTAGTAGTAGTAGTAGTAGTTGTAGTTGAAGTAGTAGACAGAGTAATAGTATCGATTGTAATTGAGTAATTGTTACGGAGATTTTTGAAGTAGTAGTTCATGTAAGTAGTAGCAGAAGTAGTAATGGTGTGGTAGTTACAGTAGTAGTAGTAGTCGTTGTTGGTGTAGTAATATCAGTAGTAGATGTTGTTGATGTAGATGTAGTAGAAGTGATTGTAGTAGTAGTAGTAGTAGTGGTAATAGTTGTAGTAGTAGTAGTAGTAGTAGTAGTAGTAGTAGTAGTAGCAGTAGACGTTGTTGTATTGGTTGTAGCAAACGCTATAGTAGTATCAGTAGTGGTAGTCGTTGTAGTAGTATCAGTATTAGTAGACATTGTAGTAGTAGTAGTCGTGGTTGTGGCTGTAGTAGAAGCAGTAGTAGTTGTAATATAAGTAACTTTTTGTAGTAGTAGTTTGTGTAGCACTTGTGATTTATTATTATTGTTGTCAGTTATTACTGTTGTCCTTTCTTTCTTTTTACTCTAATTTTTACTATCATACATTAATAAGCATTGTTGTTACTCCCTACCTCTGACTGGTTTCTTTCTATATGTTTTATCTATATCTGTGACACTTGCTTCATTTATTGACTGTTATTGTTCCTTATGTATGTACTCTGACCTGTCCACCAAGTTACCTTTACATGCATACACACACTCACACACACACACTCACGCACATACCAGTACATGACTATATTGTTGTTGTTTTTGTTTTGTTTTTGTTTCGTTGCTTTGTATTTGTTATTTGTTGACGTTTTCTTGTATTCGTATGATTTTTGCATATTCTAATAAAAAAAAAAAAAAAGAGGATGGGCATGCTGATATCTCTAGGGAGTATTTGAGATCTTTATGACTACTGGAGACTCTTTCAGACAGAGTTGAGGAGGCAGTATGAGATGCTGGACACCTGAGAGAGAATACAAGTGTACATCTTACCAAACCAACCGGAGATAGGCTCTTTTGAGGAAGAGAGGACAATGATCTCTGTAGGACACCTTACTCTTTATCTTTTCATGGAGGGTCGATGTAGGACAAAGTTTTTCAGCATTTCATCTTCTTCAGCGTTCCTATAGTGCAGAGGTAAAGACTCCAGATTCCTCCAGAGTGGAAACTGAAAAATAAAATATACTGTATTACTGCTTTTCTTGTACTATTGTGCTATTTTGCATTCTGGGTCTCTTGCAGCTAAAAGAATGTATACAATTGTTAATGTTGCTAATCTATGTACATAACTGGAAAAAAGTTTAGAGTCTTTAATGTTATTGGTAGATGTCTCTTCTGCCCACATCATTACAGTAAAACAGAAAAGAAATAATAAGTTAATAACTGCTTTCTGCTTCAAAGCTGTACTTCTAACATCATGGCATAAGTCCTGTTCAATGTCACATGATCCTCCAGAAATCACTCTTAATAAGCTGAACATAGTTTTGTTAATTATTACCATATATTAATTAATTTAATCCATTTTAATTAATTGTATTATTTTTATTTTCATGTTTCTTTTATTCTTGTTCATGTAAAGAACTTTGAATTACCATTGTGTATGAAATGTGCTGTATAAATAAACTTGCCTTGTCTACCCGTTTAAGCCAAAAGAGATGTTTTTTCGGGATGCTATTAAAATGTTTTTAAAATCAATAAAATTCCTAAAACTCATTGGCCAAATTATATACTGTATTTGCTTTTATTTTATAACAATTGCATGATTTTTTTCTATTAATACGCTGTTGTCGTTGACACACACAAGGCGCTTTATTTTTTACTTATTTTGGTATTGTTTATAAATGCCTCTTCAAAGTTTTTTTTAAACTAAAATAAATTTAACAAAATCTCATTTTAAACCATTATGTTATTTGTGCAGACCATTTCAGACAAAACTGGCTAATTAGAAGGCAACGCTAAGCTACACTGTAAGCTGTTTGCCTCTCTTGCCACTGTTACCACATCACAATACAGAACATTACCCTTTTTAGATATTGTCTTTAAAAGGTAAAGTGTAAAGAAAATACTGCACAACCAGATAATTATTAACTCTTAAGATTACATTTAGCTCTGCGGAGTGGAAAAAAATCCTCAGATCTCATTAGTAACTCATTGAAAGGTAGATTTTTACCAAAAGGTGAGCTGTCTGCATTGATTTTATTAATGAAACTGACACAAACCAACAGGTACACCAAACTTCAAAATGTTACTATACAACAGACTATTAATCAGCAAAGCTGTTTTTATAAATGACAAACAAAAATTATATTTCTTTGTTGTCATATCCACTTTTTTACTGATTTGTTAAAGGGGTGGTCCAGAATGTAATTTTAAGGCTTGGTTGTGTTTATAAGATGCAAAGCAATGTGTGCTTATGTTTCACTTGAAGGAAATCGCGTTATTTTTTCATATATCTCACTTTGATTATACACAGCTACTCAGCTAACATGAAAACGACTGATATATTTCCTAGTTCCTCTGAAAGGCCCGCCCTCAAGTGACTCTGATTGGTCATCGTCATAATGTGCTGCGATTTGCGGATCGGCTCCACATCACGCCCGTACAAGCACACGCTTTTCTGCTGTGTAAACCTCCATCAACCTCCTCCCTGCTCACTAAAATAAAACCTGACAAGTCTCTGTAACAAGTGAAAATGGGGTGCGGCTCCTTTAAGAGCGTTTGGCATTGTGTGTGCGTGAATGTGTGAACTTTCTGCAACAAGCGCATGTGCACTGGAGTTTTTTTTCTTTTTCTCTGATGCTCGGATTAAGTTATTTTCTGTAATATATCGTGAAAGAAGAATAAAGCACAAGATGTGGGATGCGACCTGTGTGAGCCTTGATTTATTTCTTAGCTGCTACCACGAGTTATTTGAGCTACCCTGTCTTTTTTTAACTCAACATGTTACACAACGTCTTTCACATGTATCCAGAATATTTTGTTGTAAGTCACATGAATCATCCACATATCTTTTGCGACTACATTATCTGAGATGTGAAAAGCTGCCTAAAGACAATCAATGCAGTCGCACACATACATAGACACGAACGTGCTGGTGAAGTGTGTGTGTGTTTACAGCAGTTTGGCTGATAAATATGAAATTGTAGCTGAATTGTCTGCGGTGCAAAGCAGCATTTCCCATTGTTTACATCGTTGCTACAGCTTACCGTTAATGCTAGACACTGTACATGTCATGATCAATTTTAACAAATAAAAACACTTATAGGTTGAAGTTCACAGCTTCTGCTTTGAGGAGATTATAACCGAATCCAGCACTTAACTAGGAGAGATTCTGGAGCTGTTTTGTCAAATCATGCTTGCTATGTATTTTATAATTCTCTGGAACATAATTAATATTGAACTGTAAGCACTTCTGTCTTTGTGTCATGTCCTTTGGAAACCCAAATACAGAAACAGACGAAGCTCTGTGGAAACAGCACTGTTTGGATGCATTTTTATCTATATATATGAGCTATATCACACGAGTAGCAGGAGCAGATATTCCTACTGGCCTTTATGCGTTTGTCCCAAGTGCTGTCGACTACACACATGCCAGTCAATGACAATGAGTAGGCAAAAGAAAAAGAAAAACACACTCAAACATCTGTCGCAAAATAAAATGTTACATTATTAAAATAAAAGAATGATACAGCGGTAGAGCGACCATCACACACTTCTCAGAGCTCCCCAGAACTGAACTGAACTCCCATACCTGCGTGCTTACATCTCAAAGGTAAAACTACCACAAAAGAAGTCCTCTTATAGGGGACATTTATACACAAGGCATATCAAACATTAAATGACTGTTACAATATCACAATAATTAACCTTGAAAAAAGCAGCGCAATCACTACCAGACTGCTGTTGTGTTTGCGATAAGGAAGAACGAGGCTGAATCCAACCTAATTCACAACTTCTTATTGATTCTATCCGGTCCACCTTAAAAACTGCAACACTTCCGGTTTTCAGCTTTGCACTCAAGAAAACTCACAACAGTTTTAATCGAAGCAAGGGCTTATTATGTGGCCCTGGTGCTCTCTTGTGGATAGACAACCGTCTTTGTCTACTACACTATGGCAGGCTGATGGCTGCCAACGAGCTCTCTCAGAAATTGTGAATAATTTAAAATAGGCACTATTCTTACAAATAAACTGCATAGTTGCAATCTAAACAACTACATTCTTTACTAATAAAGCCTCAAAAGTACATTTTGTTGTGATGTTACTGGCAAAATATTGCACGGCCAATCAGATTCAAGAACCAGACAGAACTGCTGTATAAATATAATAATAAATAAAAGATATATATATATATATATATATATAAAGAATTTTAAATAATGTATTTTAAAATGTTTGACTAATATGGTAAGGTTGTATACTAAACTAGCAGTATTACACTGTATTGTTTCAACGGGTAAGCCATTTAAGTTCTGAATGAGCCAAATAGGCTCAACGCATCTGTTTACTGTAGCACAAATCACTTTCTACATTCAATTATTTTTTCCCATGTATTAAATAAATAAAATATGTACAGGCTATTTTACTAATTTTACTATCATAATAAGTCATAATTGGAAAAAATATGATACAACACAAGATGTCTGACTGATCTCACTCTGATATGCAGTTAAATAAGAACATTCACTGAGTGGTTCTGTCATTAGCTATGATTCCATCCACCTATTTATATGCACATTTTGCATATGCGCATAAAAAATGGTTGATAGAAACGCCAAGATGTGCATAAATTTTGAAAATGCGCATAAAAAACCTATGCGCATAACTGAGTAGGATAAACTTTTTATTCAATAAGAAAAGATGCGCATAAACTACGATGGAAACACTTTTACCGCACAAACTCCAGCATAAGAGATCATGTGTTGATAAATAAAATGTGTGTGAATGGATAAACCAGCAGGCTGAGCACATTATAAAACATCTGAAATGTTGTTTTGGTCATTCTTAAACGCCTTACCGTTTCAGTATTAGTGTTATTTTATTTTTAATGACCTCCCGAATCAAGAGTGTCTGTGCTCTGCGCCTGACACCTTTAAACGCCACCGCGCGTTTACTACATGTCAGGATTGCCTTCTGAGGTACAGTAATTTATTAGATGAAGAAAAGATTGATGCTGCTTCTCCTACTGAAGCAAATTTTGTTTTTACTGTTTATATTTGGTGCCAGTTAATCAAGAAGTGACGATTTTGTTCGCTTTGACTCATTAGATGGAAACGCAGCTTTATTCGCACGTTTTTCATGCAATAATCCAGTTTTGTGCATAAAGTTCATTCACATACTTTGGATGGAAACAAAGCTACTGTGTTTATTCCTGTGCAAGTCAACACCACAGTCTACCTGAATATTGCTGCAGACCAAGAGCCTCATGTACGAAGACTTGCGTGGAAATCTTACCAAAACATTGCGTACGCACAAAGCTGTAAATGTGCGTACGCAGAAAAAAATTCAGATGTATGAAACACTGCGTACGCCAAATCTCACGCATATTCTTTTGTACATCTGAATGAACGTGAAACTGAGCGCAACATGCACGAGCACAAAACCCCTCCCTGCCTCCTCCCCCGTATGAATATGCTAATGACTATGCTAATGGAAAAACCCAACAAAAAAGCAATGTCAAAAGCAAGCAAAAAGAGAAACTTTGAACAGAATGTGAATTGGAGGTGCTCCTTTCGGAGGTAGACCGGAGAAAAGCGGTGTTATTTGCAAGTTTGTTCTCCGGAATTAACAACAAAAGAAAAAAATAGAGTGGGAGAGTTTAGCTGATGCGGTTAACACAGTTGGGTTTGAACATCGCACTGAGTACATTAAAAAAAAGAAATAGTGTGGTTTATATCTGTAAAATGTTGCAGGACGTTTAACAGTCTCAGTGGCGCTACTCGTAAGACGCTTGTGATCATGAATTGATACGTTCGAGCATGATCTCGGCTCGAATCCAGCGTCTGATGAACTCTTTCTTGTTTTTTCCCCCGCTACATATCAGATTTTGCCAACTATTTATCACGAGAAAGACAAGTAGGAATCATCAATAAGTTCATATCAATAAGCATCATATTTTATTTGCACATTTATTGAATGGAAATGTTTCTGATTCACGCATGCAAATTCATCTTCAGATAGTGTCTTTATAGCAATGTGCGTGCGGTAGATCGCTCAGATTACATTGGGAAAACAGGCGACTGCTGCAAATTGTGCTTTAATGTTTAGCTGGTCAAATGTATGGTATGGAAACCTTATATACCTGCTGAACCCGTCTCATACAGCTGCCATTGCAAGGCTCAGACACTTTGTAGAGAGCAATTTAACACAACTGCCTCTAGGAGTCGCCAATGGAAATAAAACAGACACGCACAAAAAATGTGCGTACGCCTGCCAGAAAGCTGCCGTGAAGCTGCGCACATTCCCACGTTCAGTTCATTGTTAATAAATCCAAACGTGAGCGATTCTGAGCGTGAAACCTGGCGTACGCAAAGTTTTTGTGCGTACGCAGCGTTGATACATGAGGCCCCAAGTCTATCCCTTTATGACTACAGTGTACCCATCTTCTGATGGCTTTTTCCGGAAGAATAACGCACCAATGTCATAAAGCGAGAATCATCTCAGACTGGTTTCTTGATCATGACAATGAGTTCACTGTACTCAAATGGCCTCTACAGTTACCAGACCTCAATCCAATAGTGTACCTTTGGGATGTGATGGAACAGGAGATTTGCATCATGGATGTGTAGCTGACAAATCTGTGGCAACTGCGTGATGCTATCAAGTCAATTTAGAGCAAAATCTCTGAAGAATATTTCCAGTACCTTGTTTAATCTATGCCACAAAGGATTAAGGCAGTCCGGAAGGCAAAAGGGGGTCCAATCAGGTACTAGTAAGGGTCCGTGTGCGTATACCTAATAAAACAGCCAGTGAGTGTACTATACAACTGACTTTTACTTAACTTCAGTGATTTAATTCAGTGATGAGTAATGAGGACACAAAGCACTACAGTTGTATTTCTCTATTACTAAACACAGAGACTCATCAGCTCTATGAACTAAACTTAGCGTGTTTGTAAAATAAGACATGCAGAATGTACATAGCTGTGAATCTCAGGACCAGGAATGAAAAACACTGTCCTAAAGGTATTCACTCAGCTATCAGTAATCCAGTTCAACTCTGTAGATTACCTGACTCTTAGTGCTGCCCGTACGGCTGGATACTGCTCACAAAAAATTCAATAAAGACAAAGGAAGTCCCAGCATTTCATCACATCCAGGACAACAGAGAGGCCTGAAAGATATATATTGGATTTATAAAAAGTTTTAATTAATTTAACTTTGTCTAAATTACACTAAAATAAGGAGACTCACCAGTCGCCATAAAGCAAACTTTCGTGATGGCCAATCGCTTGATCCTGTATCACTTGGTTTGGATAAATGGTTGTATAAATGGTATGGTACTAAAAAAATTATGCATAAATACTGAGAACAGCACCACTGTTTATATCAAAATTTCAGCTCTAAACAAGTTAGAAAGCAACTAAGTAACTTACCAGTTCTCCACATAAAATTTAAAGCATGAGTGATTTACTGAATCACTGACACCTCTGGCTAAATGACAAGCAACACCACAAAAGAGAAAGAGCTTTAAAACTATTGGTTAATTTACGATTTGTTAGAACTAATGTTACTGATTGTGATGTGTTTGTGAATGAAACCAGAGTATGAAGGTGAAAACAGGTAACGCGCTAATAATAGCATTTAACATGAAGAAACAGGTAGCTGAGTTAATGTTTTTAATTTGACAAAGTCTGCCAAAATTACCTTTACTGTGTTCAGCGGTCAACATTAAATTACCTCCAAGCTATTATCTTCTGTATAATGTAATTAATATCTTAATCTGTGTCGCATAACGTCCAGTAACTAACGATACATAAACATAATGTGAAAAGCGCCAGAGAACAAGCGAAATTCACCACGTTTTCAAGCATCAAAATCTGTACTGTCGTTTCAGTAAAGCTATTAAAAGTGATTATTTTGCTGTTTGTCGTGTTAGGCGACACGTTAAACTGTAAATACAGAATCATGTCAAGATTTTTAAGTTAATGTACCTCAAACTGCTTCAGGGAGTTTTGTGCAACAGAACATTTATTTTTAAAATTACTTACAAAAATACAAAACTGTTAACTAGTGACACTTTACGTTACACGGCCATAATTGAGAAATAAATGTCGATTTAGTAAGTGTTTACGTTATCTCTTGCTCCCATAAGTTTTTCCCTGTCCTCTTGTTTGGTTAAAAATGACGCCGCTGCGCATGCGCACTTGCGCAGATCTCCAACAGTCAGCCTCGAATGCGTTTATTAATATTTTTAAAGGAAAAATAAACATCACATCAAGATGACACAAAAAATCATTATTACATGTGGCTTTTGTTCATTTTTAAATGAAAATAAAGTTATTCATCGTTGTTGTTATTATTAATATAATGTATTAATTTTAACAAAATTAACATTTTGGATTAATAACGCATTATTAAAAGTTGAAGTATGATTATTAAATGCTGTACAAGTGTTGTTTATTATTAGTTAATGTTAATAAATATACTAAGGTTATATTATTATAGCTGTCTTTAAAAAAACAGATATAGTCATTGTCACTTTTCTGCCTTACAAAAGCAAAAGACCTTAACTCACTAGAGTGTTGAATTGAGAAAAATGACTTCAAAGATTTTTTTGTTGCCCATACAAATTAGTAAAAGACAGGACATTGGAAAATGTTTAAGTAATGACATTTATCTACATGAAAAAAACCCTTAAGCTCAAACTTGACCTTTAACCCTTATTTTAAAGTTACTGTCCTCTGCCTTTGTAAAAGGGACTTTGATTGTATCCATAAATGTATACATGTATATATCTATGGATTGTATCAAAGAGCATAGATCCTGGAAATTGTGTTGTTCCCACAATTTCTCACCACATAAATGCATCTTATGGAACAACTCTGATATTAGAATTAGAAATAAATGTATTTTTCTATCCACGTGATTTAACAAAAATATAATTGGTATTCTCTCAATTTTTGATAAGTCTGACAACTTCTTGTCTTATGAACAATTTATGTCCAATAATAATTTTCCATTACCTTTTAAAGAATTTAATGCTGTGCAAAAAGCAATTTCTGTAGCCCTAATTCAACATATAAAATCTCATTTAATGTTTAATGAAAATGTTATTAAAGAACCAGAGCTGATCTAAAATGGAGTTAGTATATTTGACAAAAAATGTAATAATAAATATATTCAACAAATCTTTCAAATTAAAAAGTATAATGTTCCTAAGAGCAAATTTTACTGCATCCTTCATTGACCTAATAGACTGGAAAAAAGCCTGGCTATTACCTCATAAGTGCTGCATTCCCAATAAAACAAAAGAGGGTCATTTTAAAATTCTTTATAAAATATATCCAGTGAATAGTACTTTGGCAAAGTTTTTGGAAATTGATATAGTTCAAGCACAGTTTGTAAAAATGAAGACGAAACGCTGATTGACATATTTTTTCATTGTGAAAACACAAAAAGCTTTTGTTATAGCTTATATCTTCATATAGGTAAATACATTGCTTCTTCCAGACACTTACAACTTCAAGATATTATTTGTTACTATGAAGGTAAAACTGATATATCAGAGAACTACATTATTAACTTTTTTATTTTGTATGCAAAATATTTTATTCACAAACAAAAGTTCTCCAATTCGCAGCCTTCTTTTCACATTTTTTAATTGAAATGGATCTTTTTATTAAATCTCTTAGACTAATTATTAACAAGAAAAGTGATAGATTCTTGGATTATTAAGATAAATATTTTGGAAATATCACGGATACGTAAGTCCTTGCTTCCTCTTGCTGTATCTGTGTTTTGTATGTATCTTTGTTTAATTGTTTTATTTTTTTATTATTTTTTTCTCTCTTTGGTTTCTCTTTTAATAATTTTTTTATATGTTTATATTATTTATCCTGATCTGTTATTATCATTGTTTTGTGTAAAATTGGATTTTGTATGTTTGTTATTGAAGTCAATAAAAAAAAAAAATTAATTAATTAATAATAATAAATAAATAAATAAATAAATAAATCAAAGAGCTTAGATCCACCAAGAGGTGACACTCTGTTGCTACGTCGGCCATTTGGAAAATAAAATTCCAATAGAACAACAGCACGGATGACTTGTTAGACAGAGTGAATCAAAATATTGAGTTAAATATGAGTTAATATATGATATATTCATACACCCCCATTGAAAGCAACATTTGAAACAATATCTCAATAAAAAGAAAAACAATTTCCAAAATGCAGACAAGACTACGTTTAAACAGACTTTAATTGTAAGCAAAAAGTGAGCAGTCGTGCCAAGGCAAAAAGCAGTAACGTCCACATGACCAATATTACAGCCATATTTAATGCTATCATGTGCTTTGGCTGCATTTGCAAATAACTTCCAAAATATAATATATAATATATAATTAGTTAGTGTAGTTTGAAATTAATTGTTTACAGTATTGGAATTTTTGTGTTTGTACATTGTAATACTTGCACTGCATTGTTAAACTACATTTGCATTGATTTAGACTTAATTTTTAACTAAGTCATGACCTAGTTATCTGTATATCAGCGGTTCCTAAACTTTTTCAGAGTTGGATACTTCTTCCTTTTGCATTCTCTCTTGTACTTCTACTGCAGTCACTTTTCCCATTAGGTGCAATATTTGCAATTTAGATTTTTTGAAAATCCATTGAATTATTTACCTTTATGGATTTTTTTAAATAAATAATTTCTCAAATAAAAATATTAATAAGAAAAATATGCAAGTCTAGTAAAATTAGGTTTTCCATGTAACAACTAAAACCGCCAGTAGGTGGCAGTAAGACACTGTCTTAAGACATTTGTTCAGTAACAAAGCAACGGTTGTGTTTATGAATAGGTCAATGAATCGACTCTCTCACGATTCAAAAACGATTTAGAAACGACTAGACCGATGATGTGAACGCCAGCAGGTTGAAATGATGATCATAATTGTGGATTAAACATCTCTGTCCACATTAATTGCAGTGGATTTTATTGGGTTACAAGAAAAGGTAGGAAATGGTTTTAACTGCAAACTGTTCTGATTTCATGCTGAATGCTAACACTGTCAGGGCATTCAGTCAACTAACCTTGTGCTAATAGTCAATATACTGTAGTCCCCGACTGCACTGAGTGAAAAATACAAATTATGAGGCAAAGTGGATTCAGTGGACAAAATAATTTAAGGCCATACTGCAAAAATGAGTAACTTACACCCTAATGATGGTTTTAACAAAACGTTACTAACGTTACAGATAAACCTCAACCACATTAGTGAGTTTAAAAAAAGAGTTTTTAGAGCAAAATAATTGTTTTGATTAAAATAAATTGTTTTCTTAAACGGTTAAAAACTTGCCGATTATTTATAAATTTATCATGTGAATACAAAAAGAAGACTCGAAAAAATGCATGACAAATTTGAATATGCTGAGCGATTTTATTGAAGCTCTCCATCAACACCCCCCCCCCTCCACACACACACACACACACACACACACACACACACACACGCACACGAAAAAAGCCACTAAATGATTGACTATTACTTTGTATTAAATTTTTTTATGAAGTTTTAAACGGGACAATCACGTTTCAGCTTGGTTTTATTGGAATTTAGAATGTCACGTTTCATCAAGTTCTAAAGATGACGTTCTGCTGAACAGGCGCCATTACTCACAATCCACTGTAGTGTGAAGATATACGAAGACTTTCTTCGTCTTTACTGACAGTTATTTGTTCGTAGATTTGTGCTTTTCAAATTGTTAACTATTTACTCTTTAAAATGTTTACATTACTCGGAGTAATTGCTTTAGTCCTGCGGGGAAGGACAGAAAACAAACCCCATCGAGAAGAACCCGTGGAGAAAAACTCTCCACCCACGATGACCAGTGATGGTAAACCATATACCGATGCTATAAGAACACCAAAGTCTGCATATAGGGCCCTACACTCGCTATCGTGGAAGTTTTTTATTATTAATTTTAAAACTTTATTTGTTAAGTTTTGTTAATCAGTTTTATAAAGTCTGTAACATACAGTCAATGTGTATCTAAAGTCGATTTAGTATATTTCTTCAGTTATTCTCTATATTTCCAAACTAGCACGTCAAGTTTCTGGACAAACTTTAAACATACTTAATTTTTACATATTATTTCTCTTTTAGGTCGAGATATTGATGATAGGACTGTACACCTGTCATCGGAGGAACCAAGCACCAGTGGTTGTCCAGTCCATGTTGACGACCACAGTGATGTCCTTCATTCTCCCATCACTGCACCGACCCTCCAAACTCCAGACCATGCTGCAGCTCAAAGTGTTGACGACGTCCCTACAGCCTGTGCCACGTCCGACTGTAGTGAGGATGATGTCCTTCAAGCTGCAGTGCCTTTGCTAGCTGACTTGTGTGCACGTGTTCTTCAGGACACTGAGCCACAGTCATGCCAGCAGCAGGATATGGAGAAAACTGTGACTGGTCAGTTTGTTCACTTCCACATTGAGTAATTCAATGAACATGCACAGATTAGACGGCAGTTTAACAGCAGTGTAATAATAAGTTTGTGAGAAAAATGGCAAAACCTAGAAGTGCTTTTCTGTTTTGTCAAGTGTGAATAATAACAGATTAAAACATTTGAATAAATGCCAGCCTGATTAAAATAATTAAAGAACTGGAAACACTTTACTTTAATGTTTGATTAGTTAATGTCATTTAATGTATTTGCTAACTAGAATTAAGAATGAAAATATCATGAACAGCATTTGCTGTGAACAATGACAAATACTTACATTTCTTACCCATATTCAAAAAAGAGCAAGACAAACAGTTAGAAAAGACAATCAGCTAAAAGTGATTGTACAAAATTAAGGAGCACTCTGAATATTTATTGATTTCCTTCATTGACAGAGATGTGTTTGTCAGTGCAATATTTCAGTATTCAGAACACGACTGAGCATTTACATCCAGCAGTGTCACTTTTTCAGTGTATGTTTGTTTGACTGCGTTTTACATTTATAATGGTGGGCTGCAAGACCCCAAGTAGTCACTTCAAAATGTACAGCTTGCAATAATATGGCAAATTAATCTTACAATTATCAAATGTGAATAAAACAATCCTTAGGTATTACATATTATTTCTCTTTTTAGGTCGAGAAATTGATGATTGGACTGAATACCTGTCATCGGAGGAACCAAGCACCAGTGGCTGTCCAGTCCATGTTGACGACCACAGTGTTGTCCTCTATTCTCCCGACTGCAGTGAGGATGATGTCCTTCAAGCTGCAGTGCCTTTGCTAGCTAACTTGTGTGCACGTGTTCTTCGGGACACTGAGCCACAGTCATGCCAGCTACAGAATTTGGAGAAAACAGTGATCGGTCAGTTTGCTAATTCACCATTAAGTAATTCAATGAACATGCACAGATTAGACGGCAGTTTACCAGCAGTGTAATAATAAGTTTGTGAGAAAAATGGCAAAACTTAAAAGTGCTTTTCTGTTTTGTCAATTGCGAATAATAACAAATTAAAACATTTGAATAAATGCCAGCCTGATTAAAATAATTAAAGAACTGGAAACACTTTACTTTAATGTTTGATTAGTTGATGTTATTTAATGTATTTGCTAACTAGAATTAAGAATGAAAATATCTTGAACAGCATTTGCTGTGAACAATGACAAATACTTACATTTCTTACCCATATTCAAAAAAGAGCAAGACAAACAGTTAGAAAAGACAATCACCTAAAAATGATTGTACAAAATTAAGGAGCACTCTGAATATTTATTGATTTCCTTCATTGACAGAGATGTGTTTGTCAGTGCAATGTTTCAGTATTCAGAACACGACTGAGCATTTACATCCAGCAGTGTCACTTTTTCAGTGTATGTTTGTTTGACTGCGTTTTACATTTATAATGGTGGGCTGCGAGACCCCAAGTAGTCACTTCAAAATGTACAGCTTGCAATAATATGGCAAATTAATCTTACAATTATCAAATGTGAATAAAACAATCCTTAGTTATTACATATTATTTCTCTTTTTAGGTCGAGAAATTGATGATTGGACTCAATACCTGTCATCGGAGGAACCAAGCACCAGTGGCTGTCCAGTCCATGTTGACGACCAGAGTGTTGTCCTCTATTCTCCCGACTGTAGTGAGGATGATGTCCTTCAAGTTGCAGTGCCTTTGCTAGCTAACTTGTGTGCACGTGTTCTTCGGGACACTGAGCCACAGTCATGCCAGCTACAGAATTTGGAGAAAACAGTGATCGGTCAGTTTGCTAATTCACCATTAAGTAATTCAATGAACATGCACAGATTAGACGGCAATTTAATATTAGTGTATCAATAAATGGTTTGATTCATTTACGCTTCAGTTAGGGAGAAATGTTTAAAATAGCTTCTTTTTTATGATTATTATTTTATTTAAGAAAATTAAACATTTAAAACTGATTTAATAAATGCCTGCTTAGTTTCAAAATTGGGAACACTTCACAATAATGTTCCAATAGTTCATGTTAGTTAATGTATTTATGAAATAAGAATGAAAAATACTTGCACAGCATCAACATTTACTAATGTATTATTAAAATCTAAGGTTATTTATTTAAAGAGATAGTTCACCAAAATTATAATCTTCTATCATTTATTCACTCTTGACTTGTTCCAAACCATGTTTTGCTGTTTTGTTGAACAGAAAAGAAGATATATTGAAGAATGTTGAAAGCCTGTAACCATTGACATCCATAGTAGAAAAAAAAATACTATTAAAGTCAATGGTTACAGGTTTCAACATTCTCTGAAGCATCTTCTTTTCTGTTAAAAAAAACAAACAATAAAAAACTCTGAATTGTTTGGAATAAATCAAGGGTCAGTAAATGATGACGGAATTTACTACTGTATTTTCTGTACTACTGTACTACTATAGTTAAAGTATTATTATTAGCCCCTCTGAATTATTAGCCCCTCTGATTATTTGTTTTCCCAATTTCTGTTTAATAAAGAACAGATTTTTTTCAACACATTTCTAAACATAAAAGTTTGTTCTGTAGACTATCGAAAAAAAAGTAGCTTAAAAGGGCTAATAATTTTGTCCTTAAAATGGTGTTTAAAAAATTTAAAACTGCTTTTATTGTAGCCAAAATAAAACAAATAAGACTTTCTCTAGAAGAAAAAATATTATCAGACATACTGTGAAAATTTCCTTGCTCTGTTAAACATAATTTGGGAAATATTTAAAAAAGAAAAAAAATCAAAGGGGGGCTAATAATTCTGACTTCAGAATTCTGACATTTTGGGGCTACAACACCCCAAATACTCACTTCAAAATGTACAGCACACTTTAACATGGCTAATTAACATTTCATTAAAAAAAGTTAAATAAAACAATCCTTAGTTATTACATATTTTTCTCTTTTTAGGTCGAGATATTGATGATAGGACTGAATACCTGTTATCGGAGGAACTAAGCACCAGTGGTTGTCCAGTCCGTGTTGACGACCACAGTGATGTCCTCCAATCTCCCAGCACTGAACTGACCCTCCAAACTCCAGACCATGCTGCAGCTCAAAGTGTTGACGACGTCCCTACAGCCTGTGCCAGGTCCGACTGTAGTGAGGATGATGTCCTTCAAGCTGCAGTGCCATCAGTTCCTCAGGAGAAGGAGAAAACAATTTTCGGTAAGTTTGCTACCTTGACACTCATTCAGTAATTCAGTGAACATTTACAGGTTTACTTCAATTTAGTAGGGTGTAAGGATAAATATTTCTGTTCAATTTTATTACAGTTTGAAATAAAAAAACAAGCAAAACTTAAAAAATGCTTGTTAATTTTTTTTTACCATTTATTACTATTACAAACATAAAAGTTAGAGGACTAATAATGTGACAAAAAGTGAATTCTACATATATCAATATACAAATAAATTAGAATATATATTAGGATTTTTCAGTCATTAAAAAAAAAATGGACAAAAATTATTAAACCTTTGCTGCATGAATAAAAATAAAACTAAAAACTCTGCCAAATGTTATCTGACAGAAGAAAACACCAGTAACATTTACGTTTCTAATGAAACATTTTTCACCTTTATTCAGAAAATGCTGAATTCTGGAACACTGTGAATATTTGGGAAGTTGTTGTACTCACTCTTGTTCATTCATGCACAGATGTGTTTGTCAGTGCAGTGTTGCAGAAGAGCACTACTGAGCATTTACATCCAGCAGTGTCACTTTTCCCCTCAAATGTCTTTTTGTCCATATTTTATACACACTGACTGAACTCAAAATCCCGTACCGAAATGGTTAGGTGCGAATAGTTAGACCCCTACAGTTTAGTGGGCTGTGCTTCAGACTGACTTCAATATACAGATTGTTTAAATGTTGTTGATAACTAATATTCAGCTAATTTGTCTTTAGAAAATAAAAAGAAGCTCTTAATTGGATTTAGTAGTAGTAAGTGCTGTCACATTTTATTCCCTCATCTCTGATTTCTCTTTAACAGTCATCAATTCACGCCAATATGAAGTTGGTGATGAGCTCGGTGAAGGAGGTTTTGGAACCGTCTATGCAGCGACTCGTTTGGATGATGGACTTCAGGTATGAATCTGAACAGCAATATTAATCTAGCCAATCATTTTTGTCCTGTTATTCTGGTCTCACCATTGCCTTTGCTCATAATTCTAACACATCCACTCTTTTGTTTTGTTGATCAGGTTGCAGTGAAATACTGCTCGATGTTCGACACAACGTTCATCCGCATTGTAAGAAAACTGTGCTCTCTGTTTCTCCTCTGTTCCACAATTTTACATTTCAAACACGTCATGCTAACATTAAAGGATGAGTTCACCCATAAATAAAGTTATGTTATTATTTACTTTCCCTCATGTTATTCCAACCCCCCGAGACCTTTATTCATCTTCAGAACACAAGTTTAAATATTTTTGATTAAATCCTAGAGATCAACTCTACATAAAAAGCTCCAAGAACACTTTTAAGACTAAAAAACAAAGGTTTTGGTTCCTTTTCTGGACTTTGAGCATCTCATTGCTATTGATGAAGGATGAGGGATTTGTGTTGCTAAGATGAAAGAAGCTGTCAGAGTATTGAAACAACATGACGGTTTTTAATAACATAATTGGGTGAATTAATTCTTTAATCACAGACAGCAAATGATATTTTAGTAGACAATCGACAGATTTCAATTCTTTTACCACTGATTCATGATAAAAACCTTCTTTCTTCTAGGATGGTTTTGCTCAACCACTTCCAATAGAAATTGTTCTTCAAACCCTTGTGAATCAAGGCCCAAGGGTTCCTGAAATTATTGAGCTTCTGGACTGGAAGGTGGAACGTGACTTCTACTGCATGGTCCTGGAACGGCCCATACCCTGTCAGCCCTTGAACAACTTCATAGAAAGCTATGTTGGGCCCATTGATGAAGATGACATACGGTTCATCATGAAACAGGTCGTATTCGCAGCTCAAACTTGCTGCCAAAGAAAAGTGTTACACCGAGATATCAAGCTGGAGAACCTTCTGATCAACCCGGACACCCTTGAGGTCAAATTGATTGACTTCGGGTGCGGGGATATCCTCGAAGATGAGGCTTACACAGACTATTCTGGTACGTATAATCCCTTTAAACTGTGGTCATGACTTGAGCTCTCATGAAGTAATTCACTGTTGTGAATCAAGAGAATTCTTGCTTAGTAATGAATATTCAATTAAACATGCCTTGTTAACTGAAACAAAATCTCTTTCCTCCAGGCACAGCGGAGTATCGTCCTCCTGAGTTTCTGGAGACTGGCAAATACCACGGAGAACCAGCGACAGTGTGGTCTCTCGGAATAGTCTTGTTTGTAATGCTTTTCTGGAAGTTTCCAACAAGACGAGAACTGAATACGATCATGAATAAAGACATAGAAGGCCTGTCAGAAGGTGAGATCTTCATTTCAGCACAGAACAGTTGTAATTTGAATTACCAAAAAATAAATTTCAAGGTGATCATGTCTCTCTCTTCTTTCTGCACAGAATGCTGCGATTTTATGCGCTGTTGTCTCAAGATAGACCCCAGAGAGCGGATTAAACTGGAGCGACTCAACCGCCACAGCTGGATTAAGGTAAATACATGTTAATGAGTTTAATATTTTTGATTTGATAAGTTAGTAGACAATACGCATTAGATTTACAGTTTTATGTAAAGCTGTATAGTCAGTCCTAATACACTATTTTATATTCATTCTTCATGTTCTTTTATGTCCACTTTCTTTACTTTAGGCATGTTGCCTATATTTGTTTTATGCAGGTTGTGTGATGACACTAAGTATGATTTCTGTTTCTGTTTCAGACCAACGAAGAGAAGAAGAGCAGCGAAATAATGGGTCAGTTTGGTAGTTAACCCAGCACACGCATGCACACACACACTTTTATGGCAATGTCTTTATTAATGTCAATATTTAATCAGCACTCAAATGTTTTATGTGTTTTGTTTAATAATAGATGATAAATAGCACAACGGTTTTTCCACATTAGACAAGATTTCATTGTTCATTTGTTTATGTGTGTGCGTTGAATATGTATATTTTACATGAAGCATAAATATTTCTATAACTACTACAGTTCATTTAAACTGTCCTGTTTTGTGTGAATTTAGGTACAAATATTGAGTGCGTATATGAATCAGACAATAGTCTTGGATTAAATAAACTCTCTACTGATTGACATTTTATATCAACATCTTTGATTTTTCTTTTGACAGTCATCAACTCATCCTCTTATGAACTTGGCGTTCTGCTGGGTAAAGGAGGCTTTGGACTTGTTCAAGCTGCAACCCGACTAGAGGATGGCCTTCAGGTATCGTCAATTTTCATCAGTTAATATCTAGATCACCACTTTAAATCAGAGTATCAGATAAAAAAATAATAGATAGATATGTGATTCTTATTTTTGGGATAAATTAAACTGCTACTTTGTTAAACTGTTCAGTGTTAATGACTGAAAATCAGCCTGATCTCAAGAGAAAACTGAACTATTTTAGCTTTTGTCACTTAGTGGCTAATTGGTATGAAGTTCATGGTTATGAGTTCATTCGTATGAAAATGATTTTTAAAATGATGCGTGGCACCAAACTCCAGCCCTAAACCCAAATGTCAAACTGGATAAGCAAATTACAAGAATGAGATTGTACAAATTCATACGAATCAGCCACTAAATCAAAAAGTGACAAATTGCCATGAGATAGCATTGGACAAATGTGAACTCTGAACACAATAATTGTGTATAATTCTATAACACATGCTTTCTTTGTTCTGTTGAGCAGGTGGCAATTAAAACTGCCTACACCGAGAACGTCAAGTTCATCGACATTGTAAGTATGCTGTGCTCTTCAACTCTCATTCACTGTTACTTTAAGTATCTATAAATCACTAGACAAACTGTAATTGTCATCATGTTTTACACAATATCCATCCAATCATCATAACAAATATATTTCTTCCAGGACGGCTATCCAGAATCACTTCCAATGGAGGTTGCTCTTTTAGTTCTTGCAAACCAAGAGCCCGCAATACAGGAAATAATTAAGCTTTTGGACTGGCGCGTGGATGAGGACGAATACATCATGGTCCTAGAGCGGCCCATGCCCTCTGAAGAGCTGCTCTCCTTTCTCCTGCGCCAAGAGTCGATCATCGATGAGGATGGGGCACGGTTGATCATGTGGCAGGTAATATTTGCAGCTCAAACGTGCTGCAGACGCAAAGTCTTTCATCGCGATATCAAGATGGAGAACATCCTGATCAACCCGGACACCCTCGAAATCAAATTGATCGACTTTGGATGCGGGGAAATCCTCACCGATGCTCCTTACACAAGTTTTGCTGGTATGTATGATCCCTTAAACTGTGAAGTGAGTCTCAAACTGTAGTGATGAGTTCACAATAGACTCTGCGCGAGTCAAGCTCTCACATAGCATCATAGAATGGAGTCCACTAATCGATTAATACTGTCGATCTGGTGACTAATGACTAATGGTTAAAACCTCTCTCATTCAGGCACAGATGACTATGTCCCACCTGAGTATCGGATAACTGGCGAGTACCACGGTAAAACAACGACAGTGTGGTCTCTTGGGCTACTCCTTTATGTGATGATGTGTGGAGATTTTCCAAATCGACACGACCTGCAAATGATCAGACGTAACATCTGGACCAAAGATCACTTGACAAAAGGTAAAATCTCTATTTGGGTCAAGGAAAGAGGTCAATCTGAATAATACAAACTATTATTTATTAATTAAGTTGTGGAGTAAATCTGAGCTCTCTCTCTTCTTTCTGCACAGAATGCTGTGATTTGATCCGCTGCTGTCTCCAGATCGAGCCAGAGCAGCGAATTGAACTTGAGAAACTGAGTCTCCATGACTGGTTTACGGTATTATTTACATTCTGAACATTCTTTAATATTTGCACCTTTTTTTTATCTTCCTAAATTTTCATAATTGTTTAAAAATCTTTTTTAGATGTTCTTTGGTTAATAATGCATTAAATAGCAGACCTCAATTTTGTTTTTGTTTCAGCCTGAAGACGTGGAAAGACCTGCACCCGAGAACCGCATCGTCCATCAGCAGTCAGAGGATCCCTCATTTTTTAATATTCCCTTCTTTTTACTTGTTAGTTTTTTCTTTAGACATTATTGTATATTTTAGTATGACTGATGATAGTAGTTAAAAAAAACATAAACACTAAAAAAAGGAAGTTGTAGCCAGCCATGACAGCATCCCTGTGCCACCTCAAGACCAGAAATCTTCAAGACCCCAGACTCAGGGACCGACTGATTCATCAGCTGTTACGGCATCCCCATTTTTTATTGTATTTTTTATTAATTTATTTTATCAATAAATATTTTGTTATTTTGTGGAAATACTAATAGTAGTTGTGCAATAAAAAATAAAAACATTGTTCGGCGACCATGTAAGCAACCCAGTGCCGAATGAAGAAATGCTATGTGAAACACACCATAGTGATGTGCAGAGCTCTCAACCACTGCAAGACGAATGCACAATATGCACATCAACCATGTACATGGTACATGCTGAACTGTACATACAAATTACCGACATTTTTTAAATATAAAGTGAAAAGAAAGTGTTTGTGGAACAACAGTGTTGCAACGGAACATAAAAGATCTTTGCCAGGGAACGCAAAACTATTGCGAGGGAAAACAAAACCCTGGGAGGTAACGCAAAAACTTAAAAATAGATATTTACCTTATTTTCCTCCCACTGAGTTTTTTTTTCCCACCATCATGTCCCTTTTGGGTCTCAGTAAAATAGAAGGTACCAAACTGTATGTTTAATGTTCACTGTAATGTGATGTTTACTGTTGTATTGTATGTACATTTTCTTTTTGTTCAATAAAAAATATTGCACTCAGAAATGGCATCTCCATTTTTTTCATTTCACTTCTTTTTTTACTACTTTCGTCTTGAACTTTACCAAATTACTAATGACAGTAATGCTATAAAAATAAATAAAATAATAAAAGGAAAAAAAGTTGTACGATGGCCATAATAGTAACCCAGTGCTAAGTTAAATTCATCATTGTTTTAAATGTATACATTATATGAATTATTTTATTGTATATATTATTTAGAAATAATATATTAAATTAAAGCATATATTAGTGGTGCACGGCATTTACCCACCAGTCAACCTCAAACAATTTACCCAACAAGTTTCTTTTAATTCACCCAACTTTTAATTTAAATGTTGCTTTATCGCCTGGGTAAAATCAACATCAATATCATGCTCAATAATTGACGTTATATCAGAAATGTCACTGAACAACATTGGAAAACTTCTCACTAATCCAATGACGTCAGTTTTCTTGGTAGCTGGCTCATCAAAGTTGTGAGCATCTTAGAATTGTTTAACCTACCCTCAAGTGTATGTCGCTGTTACGTAAAGAGGCATAACCTGTTGGTGGTACGGAAGGAACATTTTGCCAGTGATTATGTTCTCACCCCTTTAATAAATAAAAAAAATAAAAATAAATAAATACACCTTACGGTAAGAATGTAATAAAGGAAAAACTTGCTCTTAATTATTGTTCATAATCTGATTCGTACATGCAATAAAACTGCACTGCGCCAACAATTTAGATGCAAGTTACTGACTTAGACCAGTAATATACTTTTTATAACTATAATATTAGGCTATGCACACTTTCGCTATTACTGACTTTATTAATGAAGGTTAGCAACAACACCGTTTATTTACGCAGACACGGATCGTGGCTTTAGTGCCAAAGGAGTGGTTTAAATTATATTTTATTCTCCTTATTTCTTTCTGTTTTATTCTAAATAACATAAATGTTTAAAGTTTTAGGAAAATATGTCAAACTATGCCTACACCAGCAAGCAAACCCACTTTTTATATAACAGGTAAATAAATCATAACCGAGTCATCACGCTTCATTATCACACCAATATCAGCGTTAGGAAAAAGGTAAATGTTACAATTTAATGTCATCTAAAAAATAGTAGCTAAATGTGTTACTTAGTTACATTTTAAGGCATTGGTGTAGCAAAACAGAGATGTCCGGAGTGCCTGTTTTGTCTTGGAGGTTTGTTTTGTTTAGGTTGTCCACGTGTATTTATTATGGTCACATGTTATGACGGTACTCAGCTGTTTTGATTCAGCTCAGCTCGCCAGTTGAAGTTTATTATCGTGTCCTATTGGGGCAACGCTTCTATGTTTCCTTCTCATTTCGTTGCGTTTGCTCATGTGTGTCTGTCTGTGCTCAAGACTGTGTGCAGGTCCTTCTCAGTATCTTTATTATCACGTGACAAGAGAACTCTCTACCCTACATTATCATGCAGGATACCTGCAGCGCAAGTGAGAGGTTGATCTTTGGCATCCACTTACTTACTACCACTATAAACTTGACCTCGCAGGCCGATCATCTTTAAACTCAAGTCATTTTTTGAGTGTCCCAACTTGAGACAGCTGCTGCATAATGGGATGTTTCTTTACACAACTGTAAAAGTGCGCTTTAGAAATGTCAAAATGAAAGCAAATATTTTTAAGGGTTCTGCGTTTTATCAATTTTATAGCTTAGTTTTAATAATATTGATGAAAATGATATAATGATATGATATTATAATATTAACTATAGTGTAGACTATTGTAGGACTGTGCAGTGTCCAACTAAACATTTTTTTAGGTTACTCCTAATATTTATCCTAACTGAAAAACTAAAGTGAAAATGACTAGCGGTTGTGTCACTGCTAAAATTAATTTAACAGCAAACTTCTTCTGTGTTTTTCTCTTTAGAGCTCAAGAGAGTTGTATTTAAAGAATTAGTTAATCAAAACATGTAATGAATTAGGCGGCTGGACCTTAATGCCATCCATTAGTCCAGCCTCCGCCGCCACGTGTGCACTTTATAGGCTATAAACGGTGCACCTAAACTGACGCGGAAAACCAGCTCTCTGGACTATTGCTTTAATTTCACATTTTACATAATTTACTGCTTTTTCATATAAAAAAATTATAATAAAAGATTAGTAATTAATAACAGAATGAATTTTCAGTTTTGAGTAAACAAAACCACTGCAACTGCAACACCGGGGGTCTTCCCACTGCAGTAATAAAAATTTTCACTGTCACAGGGTTCTTGCACCATTTTTAAAAGTAAAATTTAATGCTTTTTAAGACATTTTTAAGGCCTCAACAAATATAATTTAAGACCCAAAAATTATATAATTTCTTTGGAATAGGCTACTCATTTTAATGTTTTCGTTAAATAAATCAAGCCTCGTCACATTATGGATAACCCGCAGTATCTGCCTTTTGGGTGTCTGGTGGTAAAATGAGACTCTGAGGGGGCGTCTGAACTAGAGCTGTTATCAGGCTATGAAAGGTAGGCCCGATAGAGCCCGAACCCGACAAGTACATTTTGATTGACAGCTTTTAAAAAGCCCGAACCCGTTTATAGCCCGACATTATCCAAATGTGCACATGCACAGCTCTTTTGTCTTTTTTCATGAATGATTTGTTTATATGCGTTAACATTATCCATAACATAGGCTACAGGCCAAGTTGGAACAAAAAAATTAAAAAATAAGCCCCCTGTAACATCTTAACATCTCAACACTCTAAATAGGCCTGGGTAAATATACTTAACGTTTGAATTGGCCAACACACCAATAAAAATAAGTCTTTCTTAGCAAATAAATTAAAATAAATGATAAATGATGACAGATATTTGGCAATAACGAAATTAAGATAAAGGCTCAGTGGGATTTGTTTTGCCACTTCTCTTCACAGTAAGGCGATGGTGAAGCTGAATAATGTAATGCTCAAAAGAATAATGCCAGCATTAGCCTGTATACTCTGCATACATTATGATTTCATTAATATTTAGTTATAATTTGAAATTCTTTACTTATCAAGATTAGGTTATGCGTTTTGTGGGGGAACATTATTGAATCCACTGTAAATGGCTTTA